CTAGACATCTCAGAAGGGATTATTCCAATGGTAAATCTATCAGCATGAAATTAACTGTGGCAAATGCCAAGCTTCCCGTGCATCCTTCAGTTCATCTGTCTTCCATATCTGCACCGAAACGACTTTTCCTTGAATAAAGGGTTAGGCATTGAGGTGTTGCTCAACTAGGAGTTGGGTGGAGTAGAATTTGAAAACACGAATTTTCAGTGAAGCATTTCAAAGTAAGACCATCCACTGGGTAACCAGAAGAGAAAGCAGCAAACAGAGAAACAGGATTCAAATATGGAGCTTCCTTTCAAAGTCCAGCTCGGCAATTTTTTAGTGATTAGTTTCAGTTTCTGTCTCAAATCTAAGTGTACCCTCTTAAAAGTAACTTACTCAAAAACAGTTGATAATAGCAGGCTAATTACCTTGAGCCTTCATACCGGTCAAACTGGCTGGGCAAACCATTATACAGCCATCTGTTATAATTATTTGATGACTCATTATCACTAAGATGATCTTATGCCATTTAAATCAACAAGGCTCCAATTCTTCACCAGATAACTATCTTTAAACACACACACACTTCACACTTCCGAGTTTTCCTTTATTTCTACAGCTAAGGACAGTAAGTGGTTGAGATGAACAGTGGGGCACTGAATAGTACCAGTGGAACGTCGTGAAGGCGACAGGATCTGAACCTTTTTAAGTTTCCCTTTTGGGCTGTCTTTTCCCACACCTGAAGTGTGTTCTTCTCTCCTCTGCCACACCCAGATACTCACCAGAATTGCAAAATCTAAATACAAAGGCCTGTGTGTGTGACAAAACAAGCCCAGCTTAGGGAAGGATGATCTCAAAAATCAAAGGACTCTGACCATCCATCGGTGGGTCCCAACCCCAGTGTGTCTTTAGGAATTTTAAAACCTGAAACCCTCTCTACAGAGGTAAGATAAAGCAAACTATTGACCCCAAAGACCTGTTTTTAGGGCTTCACTGCTGAAAAAACTGTTGCAGAAAGAGCAAGGAAAGGCGAGAATTCAGAAGAGGTAGCTGGCATTGAACCTCTTCACCCAGCTTCCCTAAGCTCTGCTCTTGTGCGGGAGAGGAATCGGCAGGGCTTCCAGCCTCGTCCTGGCTGCATCACTGTATGGAAGTTCCTTGTTCAGAGGCATCCTTCCCTGAGCAATTTAGATTTCAGAATTGTTTGAATTCCTGTTACAGTTTTACTGGAAAGCCTTTGAATTTCTTTTTATAGGAGGGAATCACATATCAGAGGGCTATTAAAATGTTCACCTGTATCTTCCACCCAAATTAAAGTCACTGTGTTGGGAGTTCACACACTACGGAGAAATCCTCCCCAAAGGTGATAAGCTTCACTCATATCTGCTCTACATGATTAGTTGGGGTAGAGTTGGAGGCTTAAATAATTAATCTGTGGTTTTCAACATTTTTATATTAACACAAGCATGACTATATTTTAGATTAAACATTTACACATATGACAATTAAGGTAAAATATGGGGGATTATGCATTCAGTTCTTTCTGTTCAGAGTAATTGGGTGAAAAAGATCTAGACATGGGACACATAAAAGTGAAAAGGAGACCTTCTTCCACAGATTTCTATTTCTGATCAGTAGTATTCTATTGCACAACAAAAGCCAAAAAGATGGCATACGATGCATTTATATCTAAGTAGCCTGTTCTGTCTATGTGAATGAGTATTGTGTTTGCCATTTTTCCCATAATACCTATTTCAAAATGCCCTATAAACAATAATGAACACAACATTTTCTACATTATATGTGTGACTCTAATGGTTAAAAAAAAACTGTGCTTCAGTCAGGACCAGTGATCTGTACCATCAAAAGCTAAAAATGAGTTCTTCAGAAAGATGCTCCTGGGCTTTTACTTATAAGGCCCTCGCTATCAGGTCGCCAAACCAAGACCAGACCCTCTGATTTCAACCACACCCCTGGGGTGATTTGGAAAACGGCTTATACCTGCGATGCTCATTAAGTAATTACTCACATGGTCCAATCACAGAAACGTGTTCCAAAAGAAGACAGTCTAATTGCGAAAACTCAAAACAATGGAAACTGTTTTTCAAACACTATGCAGTGAGATTTATAGATCCTAGGTTTTTTAACCCCGCCCCCTTTTTCTTTCTCATTTCCTTCAGCTGCCTCTCTCATTCCCACTCTCTCTGAAGAACCAGCTCCCACCCAGACCTAGTCCTCCCCACTTCTGGCCCTTTACCTTCACCTTCACCTTCATTCCACTGCACGATGCCCCCCAAACACACTGGGAAGGCACGACCCTCCCTGCAGTACGGATGGGTGGAAGAGGTTGAGGGACTCCTGCCAATACAAGGGGAAAGCCTGAGATTGCCCAGATGGGAATAATATCTACTGTACCATGCTCTCCTCCACCAAATAGTGCCGTAACACTGTATTTCATTTCCGTTCTTACTGTTTTTACTTACTAGCTGTGTGACCTTGAGAAAGTGACTTCACATTTCTATGCATCCATTTCTTCTCTGAATACTCAAATCTGTATCGAAGTTCACATGGATTAGTACAGGCGAAACACTTAGAAAAGAGCGTGGTCTTTGGCAACCATGACCATCACCTGTGGGTTTGCCTGTAGGGAAGCAGTTTTGGCCAGCTGTTCCTCTCTGTAAATCTGGAGTGGGAGTCTGAGGGGGGAGGGAAGGACAGAGCAGACCCCTGACTAGTCCCCCTGATGTACCCTTTCTCACTCCTACTCTGTCCTCTGGCTCCAAGCACCTCTGGCACATACCAAGCAGCGCAGCTGTGACTTCTCCAACAGCCCACTTGAGTTGATGCTGGGTGGTAGCCTCACTGTGCTGTGACATTGTCACTTTTCATCTTGCAGAAATGACAAAATCTCAAGTCAACTGATGGATCCCTCTTTTGTTATGGATTTAATCCCTCTGCACTTGTTTATTCCACACTTTTCTCTACACCGGTCAGAACGATTATCACGTAGCATCCACTCCATCATCCTGAACCAGAAGCTCCCTGAATACAAACGAAGTTTTTCTTCTAAGCTTTAGGGTTCCGTCTGTTCATAATAAGAGTCTACACTCACTTATTTAGTTCTTCCAAATAAAGGAAGTCTTTCATTTTGAACTAAAGAAAAAGTTCCATTATAATATTAAAAAGATTTTCATCATTGTCTCGAATTATGAAAGTCAATTTGAAAAAAACACACACGGAAACCATCATGTTACCCCTTTTCCTTTTCTCAAGAACGTTTGAGTAAGTTAAGAGCTGATACACATACAAGCACACTGAAGCAGAGAACTGTGAGGGGTCATTGGCAATCATTTTACAGATAAGGTTATGAGACCAGTGGGGACGTGAAGGGCTAGCAAGAGCCAGCATTGGGTGAGACCCAAATACGCTCTCTTCAGGTATGCCTAGAAAAACAAGTCAACTCAGGATTCGTGTGCTTTATATGAATAGGATTGACTTTCAGCAGGAGTTTGTAGCAAAAATCAATCTAATTAAATTATTATGTCTGTATTCTTCTACTGTTTTCATTTCCTTAAAAAAGGAAAGCTATCAAACTTTATAGTCAGTCTAGCCGCACATAGTTTTGAAGCTAAAAATAATTACACTCCATAGTTAGCTTGTGTGACAACTGAAAGACCTTGACACATTACTTCTTTGTTACACTCAACTGAAAATGGCACTTAGCGTATCTGACTACTTTTAATGTGAGTGTGAGATAATTGCTTGGGAAACTAGAACTGCTTATTTAAAGGGTGGGGACTCTTAATATAATTACAGAGCCAAAAACCACCTCAGCTTCACCATGGGAAATGTCATACAACGCATTGTTAGTCTCCAGAGGGCTTCTCAAATTCTTCATTACTGCCCAGAATTCTCTGGAATTCTCCTGCTGTTTATGACCTAAGGATGTCTGTCTGGGTGAGTGTGAACCAAGAAATGGAGGCTCTCTACACTTGAACAAAGCTGAAGGAGGTGGACCATTTTAGCTAATGTAGTGATAGTATGTCTTTGTCCGAAATATTTCAGGTGGAAATGCTTCTGTTACATCAACTCATTGGTCTCAGGAAGTTGTATTTTTCCTAAACGTGCATCATTCAGATATAGTGTCTTATTTATTGAAGAAGAAAGTTGCATGGGAAAAAATTCAAAAACAAGAGCACATCTCTCAGAGAGCCTTGCATCTGAGTCATTTTCACGCACAATGAGAGACCCAGTTTCTTAATCTCTAGATATCCATCATCTTCTTGAATTAGCAATGCTATTAATTTTATTTTTTAATTGTTTTATTTATTGATTTGAGAAAGATGGGGGCAGAGAGAGAGAGAGAGAGAGAGAGAGATAACACTGGTTGTTCCACTTATGTATGCATTCATTGGTTGATTCTCGTCTGTGCCCTGATTGGCAACCGCAGCCCTGGCATGTTAGGACGACGCTCCAACCAACTGAGCTACCCGGCCAGAAGTGCTATTTCAGAAGATGACACTTTTAACACCGTCAGTTACTTCTTCAAATCCTCCAGCAGACACAGAATGAAAAAAGTTATTTTTTGGTATCAATAATCACACAGACCACATTCTTCTAAATTTATGATGAGAAATATTCACCTCGTATTCTGAGGAGCATAGAAGAAAAAATTTGCTGCCAAAGACCACATGGCTAATGGCACTAAGAAGAAATATCTCCCTTCTCCCGCCATGCCTCTCTGCAACCTTTCTTCACATTATATACACCACAGGAGAATTAACCTACAACCCATGGTGGAAAATAAACTATTGAACAGGAAAGTGGACTGGGGCACTTCTTGCTGTCCCTCCACCTGCATGAAGAAGATCCCATCTCAAGGAAGAAGCAACTTTCATTTTATCCAATGTTCTTACGACCCAACTCAAAGCATCTTTTTTTCAATTCCCTTCTCCAGATTTGAATTAAGAAAAAAGACACATACACACACTCAAAAAAAATGCCAACTAGAAACAAGATTAGAAAACCTGGTTTATTGGGAAAAATTCATAATAAAAACTGCAGTTGCTTATTCTGCAACTTACAAAACAATTTGATATATCATATGAATTGGTTTTCATTGTGTAAGTACAAATGGTAAAAAAATAATAATAATAATAATCCATGTGATATATCATATATTTCCCATTCAGAGATCTCACATCCCTGAATTCTCCTGTTGCATGTTTTACAGTAGATATCTTAAATAGGTCAACCAAGTAAGACCAGGTTTTTAACTATATTTAAGTTTCTGCTTACAGTTGCAATCTATCAGAAGCTGTGTCTATATGATTCGAGCCTGGTCAACTGAGATGAAACATTCAAGCCGTTTCCTCTCCTAAGGTTGTTTCAGCGTCACTTTTGTGACAGCAATGGCCTTCCTAATGCTCTGCCAGTCATGACGAATTAGACCCAGCCCATCTTTCAACTCAGTCTACTCTGGATCTGAACATACAGACACAAAACAATATAGATTAATATGTCATTTCCCCATACCCCAACCCTATACACCATTTGAAAGAGAAATTTTCATCCTAGCATTTCCCTACAGCAGGCCTTATCTCTGCAACAGGCTTGGGCCATGAAGGAATCCTTTCCTAAATGACATTCCCAGGTAATGCGAAGCTTTAGCTGGTTTTTGAAGCTTAGCAAAAAACCATTTATGCAGGGTATTAATGAGAAATGCTCACAAGTGATATGCATTTAGGAAACGAGTTTCCTTCTTTAGGTGGATGAAGGCTGAAAAAAATATTTATTTTTACATTTCTTTTAGAATCTTTGGTCACTAACAATTTTTACCAATACTTCCAAGTTCTCCTTTTCCCAGTCCATTTAACCTGGTAAAAATAGACCATTTATCAGATGACTTAAATCCTCAAAGCCTTCTCATTTTTATCTTATAAAACATAAGTTTCATAATCATACTCTTTTACATATGCAGTATAAATTGTATGGACAGGTAATAAAGAGAAATACTAACATATTACAAGCAGTTAAGTTAAAAGGAAATAAGTTTTGTTTACCTCTAGAAAGCATATGTAAAAGCCGAGTACGAAACTATAACACCCTTTAAGAAACATTTTCCCCCCAATTGTTTCAGCACTTTGACTAGTCTAATGATGCGAGCACTGCTGCCCCAAACAGGTTCCGAGTATTCTGGAGCACACAGTTTCTTCCTCTGGAGTCCGTCCTGGCAGCAGGAACCCCTCCCCACCTTAGGCAGATGTGTAGAAGTACCTGGGCTTAGCATTGCCCAGAAGGTCGTCTTCATAGTTGGGGAGGCAACAGAAGAAGAAGGAACAGCCGATCAGGATGATCGTGGCCGCCCACCCAAAGCCATAGGCCCAGTTATAGATGTAGTTGACAGCGGGGTTGGCGTGAAGGGAGAAGGTCTGGGTGTACTTCACCGGGTAGATTACCAGGGAGATGATCTGGAACACAGCTAAAGGAAAGAAAAAAAATCCCCAGTATGAATGCATGCACACATGAATGAGTGAAAGCAAGGGAACAATAGATTAACACCCTCTCCCAGTATTTTTGTCTTTAAATAAGTGTTAACTCCACCTAAATAATGCTAATGAAAGGGGCTGGGGTATCTAGTTAATCATGAACCGAAAGAGCTTATTAAACATTCTGCATCTGAGGTACTCGGCGCTGAGCCAAATACTGAATATAGGAACTATGGACAGAAGGCAAACAGAGAACCACTCTACCGTCCCTGTGCAAGTATTATATATACTGCAGTAAAACGTGCAAGACTGTGGTGTGTGATGGAAAGCAGGGTGGTGGTGCAGATTATGTATTTTCATCTTTGAACTTCCTGTGCCAAATGCATGGTAATATTTTCAGTGTCAGCAAAAATAACATATGTAAATATATGCATGTGTGCATGCACACAGACCACCACTCCATTCAAAACACACCACTGCAATAGTGGTGTGTTCGATAAACGACACACCTACGGGGTGTAGAAACCCCATTCGGGGTGTAGAAACCCCATTCAATAAACGAATGCCTACATGAAAGGATGAACCAGTGATGCAAATGATCAATGCTAACAATCGCCAGAAAAGCCTGCAAAGGAAGTGAGAGTCTGAATCAGAAATGGAGAGATGGAGCGCAGGGAGAAGAGTATTCCACGCTCACGGAATAGAAATGACAGAGGGGCTTTGGGAAGTCTGAGAGAGGTTATAAGAAAGAAAACAATGTGTCAGGATTTCTAAACTTTCTGGTAAAAGAATCACATTATCACAATCATTATTAAGCAACGTGAAAATAAAAAGAACTTAATCTTCTTTTCTAGTATTTTTCAATGAACATGCACACTTCTATAAAGCTAGGAGTATATACAGGCTGTGCTCTGTTCTGTGGGTTTTTTTTTTTTACTTAATATTTCACATGGATATTGCTATGTCAAAGGATGTGAGCAGATCTTAGTTCTGTGACGTTACTTTTCACAAAGAGGGGTCGGCTGCCTGTGCTCCAGGAATGTATCAGGCAGTGGGTGGTCCTCAGTTCTTTCATCGAATTTTTTCCTACTGGCACCACAGATAAAACTCCTAAAGGCACTTCTTTTTCCTTCCCTTTTTTTTTAATTGCTAGAAAGACTGTAGATGTTTTTACGTTTTGATTGGTTGTTTCTATTTCTTAACTCAACATGTTCATCTCGATCTTAAGTATTTCTCTGCTTCTTGTATACCCTGAATGGCAAATCCTTAGTACTTCAAAGTTTGTCAGTTACTGCAAAATATTGTGTAGTGAAGTAATCCTTCTTTACATTACTCTCTAATATGCTTAGCCATACATGTTAAATATTGTGCTTTACCCATTTTGGTTCATCACACATGAAGTTCTTGTAAAGGTTTGGGTCAATTTCTGCAAAATGTAAGTGTTCAATTTTCTAATTTTAACCTAATAATATAAATACAATTAAAGATAATTGTTGCTGTGAAATATATCAAGTAGGTCTTATTCAATATTAGTATCACTACAGATATATTGAGATTTTCTGGGTTTATTATTTTCCTACAAACATTTCCCACTCAAACTCTAAAGGAGATGAGTTTTAAACTGCAACATGAGAATACAGGAGGCTCATTCAGCTGTTTATCTGTGGAAGCTCACTACAGCTAGTGTTCTTTATGGCTTCCGCTACCCTGCCAACTTGAGATGGCCATTATTGGATCTTTTAAAAAAAATTTTAAATTTATTGACTTGAGAGAGAGAGGAAAAGAGAGAGAGAGAGAAGAGAGAGAGAGAGAGATTGATTTGTTGCTCCATTTACTTATGCATTCATTTGTTGATTCTTGATTGGCCCTGACCAGAAATGGAATCTGCAACCTTGGCGTATCAGGACGATGCTCTCACCACCTGAGCTACCCAGCCAGGGCCCATTATTAGATCCTAATGTTTTAATGCTAAAATAGACAAAAGAGTTTTACTAAAATTTTTTAAATTGTGGCAAAATATATACAACATAATATTTATCATTTTAATCATTTGTCAAGGGTATAATTCGGTGGCATTAAATACATTCACAATGTTGTATAACCATCATCCCTATCCATAACCAAAACTTCTTCAACATCCCCATCGTAAACAAACTCTCTCCCATTACCCCTCCTCTCAGACCCCAGTAAGTTCTAACCTACTGTCTATTCCTATGAATTTGCCTATTCCAGGTACTTGTGTAAGTGAAACCATAAAATTTTTTGTTCTTCTGTGTCAACCTTATTTCTCTTAACATTATGTTTCCAAGGTCCATCTACATTATAGCATATAGCAAAACTTTATTCCATTTTATGACTGAATAATATTTTACTGTGTGTGTACATATGTACCACATTTTGTTTTCTCATTTATCTGTTGGTGGGGACAACTTGGTTTGTTTCCACCTTTTGGCTGTTGTGAGTAGCGCTGCTATGAACTTGGGTGCACAAGTGTCTGTTCAAGTCCCCACTTCCGGTTCTTTTGGAAATATACCAGAAGTGGAGTTGCTGAGTCATATGATATTTACTAGGATTTTTCAATGAACATTCATGTCTTAGTATGTTATTTTCAATGGTGATGTAAACAGGCATCCATCTAGTCTTCCAAGTCATGTAAAAGCAAGATAAGGAAATGTGTTTCTTCGATAAGGGCTTATAAATTGGAGCTACAGAAAGCCAAACAGAAGCAGAGGTAGGATTCAACGGCATTCCTCATATCTTTTGTGATTCCATGTAATTTCTGATTTTAAAACATTATTCCAAAAGCAAACTTTCAAATATGAGGAACACTGGAGAAAACTTTAATTAAGAGGAATTTTAAATGTACAGGCGAGGGCAGGGTGAGGCCTGCGAACACCTTTCCTAAGCTCAGGGAAATGAGCTTTTCCCAGCACAAAGGGCTCTTCCTCTGGGCTCACACTTGACTTCATGCACACCTTTTAGTCTCAAGCTTCTGACCCGTTTCTGAGGCCTTCTGCTCACTTTGGGTCTGTTCTCCAGGTCTGCAGTCGGATTCCTGCTTTGTTCTGGTGAGCCGGAGTTATCTTGAGAAAGGACCTGCAGCCTTGCTTTGCCCTTATTGGTTCCTCCTCCTTTCCCCTCCTGAGGAAATCCAGTTTTGCATCTGAATCCAGCTCTGTGGCTGGGGTCCTGCCCCTTTGACAGACAGACTTCCCTAGGGCCAGGTGCCTTCCTAAAACTTCAGATTATTTTTGCTCCTAGAGTCCTGGTTCTTGTATTCTGTGAATAAATGTTTACTCAGAGCCCCATCCACCTACATAGCTAAATTTCTGGTCCCCTAGCAATGAAGATGAGGCAAGTCCATAGCCGGCCTCTTCTGGGTCCCCCATCCACTGCAGAAAACCCTTTCATGACCTTCCATATCCGAAGACCTTGAAACTCCTTCAATAAGTCAAGTGGCTCAGGCACATTCCCGCCCCTCAGCATGGGGCTCACAGGAGGCCAGCCCTGGGCCAACTATGGAGACACAGCACTTCCAGGGCTGACTCAGCCCCGATGCCTCAGGGTACGGGTGTCCTGGACACAGAGGTCACCAACAAGAGATGGCATACACAATGACAGCCTTCCTCCCTTGGATGGGGAGCACAGAGTACCACCTGAGACACAGGAGGAAAGGAATCTAGATCCTCTGAGACTTCTGCCCTGGGTGACACATTTTCTGAGAACAGAGCAGGAACTGTAACTGCCAGGGATCTTCCTTCCGGACCAGACACTCCCGCCCTGAGGCGTGCTGAAGGTGTGCACGGACAATTGCTGACACACAGACTTACCGGCCAGGGCCAGCAGGCCTCCGATCACTCTCAGGAAGACCAGCATTTGGGGGCCGCAGAGCGCGAAGAAGGAGAGGATGAAACAGATCACCAGGATGATAAAGCCGCAGAAGAGCGTGGCGGCCGCCGCCCTTCCCCACGCTGCGAGAAAAGGGAAACGGCAATGAACGAACAGGCATGTCACATTTAAAGATCACTTATCAAAGTATTCATAGGAATTTTTTTCTTCCTACTAATTATGTTTGAGCAGAAGAACAGTTTTTCTTTTGACAATACTTAAGCATCTCCATATTTCAGAGGGAAATTGGGCAATGCATATGTAGGACATCAATATACTGATTAACAGTAATGCCTTCTACCCTGGGTTTTAGGACAAATGTTTACTTCATTAAACTTGTTTGGCATTTGATAAATTGGCTACATAAACTGGTATATTTAAAAAGCTCATTCAACTTCTAACACAACATGACCATTAAAAAAATCACACTTTTGGTACCGAACAACCCAAATTACAATCTTTAGGAAATGTTTGAAACACCTCTAAAAGGATCTCTGTTTCATATCAATATTTGGTTCCGTGCAAAAATAATCTTTGAAAACATAAACTTAGGACTAGGCAGAGATGTGAACTAAAACAATTTAATTGTAAAGTAACTGTGCCTTTTTTTATATAACACAGGCACAGTCTTTCTAGATTTTTGCCTCAATTTTAACTTCTGAACTATTCAGAATTTATTGCACAAGAGTTCTTAATTACTGATGTTGGCCCTAGAATCGAGTTCTAGGTTCGGAGACCCGCAGGGGCACCTGGGCCCTGTGTCGTGCTGCCCTGCACCCGTGGACACGAGGGCCACGAACCCAGGCTAATGGTTCTAGCTAGTCATTCTATGGTTCCACCTGCTCTGGTTTTCAAAATTTCTTCACACACAACCTTCTCTCTAGAGGCAATACGTAACATTTATGAAGTAATTGCTCTGCCCCAGGCACTGGGCTAGGAACCTGTCACATTTTGCTCACGGAATCCTCACAATAACTTTTGAAGGAGATTCACACTAATATCATTTCTTTAGAATTGAGGCTACACAGTAAGGCTTTGAGAGTTCAAAGAGCCTGCCACGGCCACATAGCTACAAAGTGATTTAGGCAGACTTTGATTTAGAGCCTGAATCCAAAACACAACTTTTTTTTTTTAGATATAATTTACATGCCATAAAACTCACTCCTTTCAAGTAAAGAATTTAGTGGTGTCTCTATTCACAGGGTTGTGCAGCCATCACCTTTTACAATTGCAGCCTTATTATCACCCCCAAAAGAAACCTCATGTCCTTCCTTTCTCCCCTTCCTCCAGTTTCTGGCAACCCCTCATCTACTTTCTGTCTATACAAATTTGCCTATTCTGGACATTTCATATCAACAGAATCATACACCATGTGGCTTTTTTGACTGTCTCCTTTCATTTAGCATAATGTATTCAAAGTACATCTGCGTAGTAGCACTCAGCAGTACTTCACCCCTTTTATGGCCAAAATACACTCTATTGTATGGATATCCCGCATGTTGTTTTTCACTTCATTCTGCGTTCACAGGGCTCTGCACTGCCACATGAAGGTTATTCCTCAGTTACCCACTGCATGTTCTGATCTTCCTCTGTTACAGACACGTCTGAGCTAAGCCACCCTGTTACCTTCACCAGCCCCCACATTCCCTGCAGATCTCTGGATTCGTGAATGACTGGGAATAATAGGTCATTAAAGAGAAGACACACTTTCACAAGCTCAAATACCATGTTTTTACACAACTACCCCTTTGAAGCAGTGGCCGCGTGGGGTCAAGTGGGCCTAGTTTTACATTTATAATTTTTATTACTTCCCTCCAAATCTTCTTCCTCTTCCTGTGAGATCAGTAAGAGATTTTAGAGACACGGTAAAATAAAAAAGTCTTCCTTTAAAATAGAAATGAATAAAGTCAAAGTGTGAAAATGACTAAGTCTCTTATCTCATTTTGCTTTGTCCTTCAAGTAGGTGATTTTCAATAGAAGAGGAACCATGCATTGAAAAGAACATTATCTAATCGGGTCGTCTCAAAGTTCAGTCCATACACCACAGAGTCAAAGTCATCAGTGGAGCTTATGAGAAATACAGATTTCTGTGCCTCCCACCAGACCTCCCGAGACACGGCTGGAGGGCTAGCGCCCCGGAGTCTGCATGTACTCTGTCAGCATAAATAGAGACACAGGCCATTTTAAGAACTTTTCTTAGGCTATGTTAAATCAACACAGTTAATGTCTTGCTTATTTACAATGCTGATGCATCAAAATGGAAAATGAAGGCCGTTTTGTCTTGACAAAGCCTGCCTTGGAAGCGGACCGGTAAAACCCGCTCCTGCGGCAGGGGCACACCCACACTGACTCACGGAACTATCGTTTAGGGCAGAAATCTTGGCATGGTTTTAAAGATTCTATTCTGACTGATGGACGACAAGTAAGGCAAAGTGCCTTCTCATGTCAATGACTACCTTGTTGTAAAATGATGAGATGGATCCTCATCAGCAGGGTCCTCCCAGCCCAATATTCTGTCCGACACGGTGACCGATAGCCATGTAGACGTAGGACATGGCCATTCTCCAATGTTGTACATTTCAAACAGTTAGGTCTGTGTCCTAAGTACGTTTGGTCCCAACTTAATTACCCAGAATGAGCCTACTATCTACAAATTTCCCCAACTTTTGGGGGAACTATTTATATTTTTATATTGTATCATAGTCTACACTAGGGGTGTCAAACTCATTTTCACCGGGGGCCACATCAGCCTCTCCGTTGCCTTCAAAGGGCTGAATGTAATTTCAACTCTTTAACAATTAAGGAGTGGTTACATTCATATAGTCCTAAAATTATTTTGGCCCTTTAAAGGCAACCGTGAGGTTAATGTGGCCCCCAGTGAAAATGAGTTTGACACCCCTGGTCTACACTGTATCGTGCTTGCCAACCCTAATGGAGAATGCCAACTTTTAAAATTTGTCCTAGAGCTACTTCTGTGAGTCAACAGATGGTTCTCAGTTCTTCAAATGCAGACTGTCCATCTGGAACTATTCTGAAGATGAGTCCGTCCTCTATTATTACTTTATGCACCTTAAGTTTTATTGCCTCATTCCTAATCGTGTTTGTGTGTGAGTGCGGGGAAGCAGGCAGGATTCTCATCTAATTATCATTCTCTGCACTGAGGCCACAAAAGCATCCAGTACTCCAGGTAAACAGAGTTTAGAAAAGCTTTTTGTTAGTTTGTTTTGTTTCCTAAAGGGAAGATAAACTTGGTGTTTTACATACAGATACATAATCTGTTAGGTATATAATCTATTATGAAATAAGTTTATTATCCAAATGTCACTTGGAGAAGTTCATACTATCAAAAAAAAACCCCAGCAGCATTATAAATCCACTTTTAAATAAGATTCATTAAAGTTCTGGTTAGATGAAGAATGGCTTATTGAATTTTGCTCTGGCTTGTGAAGATTCAGCATTAAATCAACAACATGGAAACCACTCAGTGGTTACTAAAGAAATTACGAGCTTTTCCTAGGAAATGCTTTTACGTTTTCAGCATGAAAACGAATCTTTTTTCAGAGATTACACTTGAAAACACAATGTAATGAGGCAAATATAGCTAGGGAAAGGCCAATACGGTTAATTGGTAAAAGGAAAAAAAAGTAAAAATAAATAACTTGAATGTCAAGCCAGAAACCACAAATCAAACTGAAGTTTGTGAAAAGAAAAAAACCCAAACTTTTATTTTAAGACAAGGAGTGCATTGTTGGTATTTTTTTATATTGTTGGTAATATGTTGGAGACTATCACTAATTTTCCCCTTCAAGTTAGTATCTCTTTTAATGGTTTTGCTGCACTCTTCAATAGTTTTACTTGTGGGCAGCAGTTACCAAAACAGTCTGCGATGGAGCCCTGAGCCCCGTATACAGTGCCCTGCAGACACCAACCTGTTACCCAGCTAGAGCAGGGTCCCTTTGCAGAACAAAGGAGTCCTCTATTAACAATACCAAAGGCCCCGCCTCGTGCATCTGAGATTCTGTCAAATCTCTTCATATTGTTTCTATAGGATTCTTCATATGAGATACAGGCACAACTGAAAAGTGAATAGAATCATAACTGGAAACTAAAAAAGATCCTGTCTACAAATAAGTATAAGCATGGGGGGAGGGATGATACACACAAAAAGGCTGTTGCATGTTCAATGAGGAAGTAATCTGCAGGCATACAGGCCAGTGCTTCTGAAACTTAAAAGTGCTTACGAATCACTTGGGGATCTTGTTCCAATACAGATTCTAATCCAGGAGGTGGGGCCTGAGACACCCATCCCATAACCTCTGAGATAATACTGGTTCTGCTGCTCTGGACACTTGCAATAGCAAATATCTACAGGACAACTCCTAACAGGCCTCCAAAAAAAAAATCTACATAGGAAGAAGCAATTTTGCAGAAGTTTTGGAAGGCACCACACATAGCTTTAAAGGAGGAATGACAGGGCCACCCAGGGGAATTCCACAGTTGGTGTGAGATTCCTTACATGCTCTGCATTTTCTCCTGAGCCAGAGCCGGATGATAAACCACCCTACACTGGAAGATGTGAAAACAGGGAATCGTACCCTGAATTCACACAGGATAAATAGCGAATTTAGGATCTACCCTTAAATATTTACAAGTCTGTCGGACAGAAGAAGGCTGCAGAGCAGAATTTATGGGGAAGCACATTTCAGCTCCATCAGTAGAAGGAGGTGCTTTTAAACAGTAGCACTGTCAAGAGAACCGAATTAAATTGCTGAACACAGGGAAGAAGCTCAGATCAGTCATGGGTGGTGGTAATGAGGGCACCTGGTGAAAGCTTAAATAGGTGCACTCTTACTCCCTCCTAATTCTGATTGTCTGGGAGACTGTTTATGTCTATCTCCGGGAAGAAAACAAGTTATAGGTCTCTAACAAGGGATTGAGGCTCTCAGGTGGTTAACGCTCAGTGCAGCTAATGTGGAGTGTGCTGGTCTAGATCACTGGTTCCTAGACTTCTAGATTTAAATAAATATATTTATATGTATTTATTATATATTTATTTATAAATATATATATTTTACATTTCTTATGCATTTATTAATATAGAAATCAAAGAGTAATCTATCTACTAATGCCCAATTTCATAAAATAAGAACATTTTAATACCTCTCCCAAAGCCACAAGAGCATCATCTCAAAATGAAGTCCCTTAAGTTGAATTTAGCCTAATGTAAACCGGTTAACGTCATGCTCATTTTTCTCATTTCCTGTATATTTAAGAAGTACGGGGCTAAATGATCTAAAAATAGTCCATACTATTCCAATTCTTTGACTTATCCACGAATGATCTCATGTAAAAAAATTTCAGTTCACTCTGCAGTATCAAAGGGTGGCCGGGGTAGAAACGCAGGCCAGCACTTCTGTCAGATGCAAGGCAAACGCTCTTCGACACGGACCCCCGCTTTTTCCTGGTGGCTAAACTCATCTGCGCTACTCCCCACCCCGACAAGCTGGAGCTTGCTTGGGATTTGAAATATACGTCACTGATGCTTACAACATCCTCCTGATGTGTCTTTTTTAAACTGAAAGAGAAGGAAGGACTGGCTGGCGTGCCTCAGTTGGTTGGGCGCCACCTGGGAAACTGAAAAGCCCCGGGTTCGATTCCGGCCAGGGCACATGCAGGGGTTGCAGGTTTCCATCTCAAGTCGGGGCGCCTACAGAAGGTGGTTGATCAATGTTTCTCGTCCTCTCCTTCTCTCTCCCTCCCCCTCTCTCTAAGGTCACAAATATTTTAAAAATTAAAAAAGGAAAGAAAGAGAGAGGAAGGAAGGAAGGAAGGAAGGGAGGGAGGGAAGGAAGGAGAGAGGGAAGGAAGGAAGGAAAAGAAAGAAAGATAAAGTAAACTGCGGTTGTGGCAGTTGGTTGGAGCACCATCCAGTGAACAGAAGAATCCCTGGTTTGATGGTCAGGGCACATGCCCAGGCCCAGGCCCAGGCCCAGGCCCAGGCCCAGTCGGGGTGGGTACAAGAAGGCAACCAATCAATGTTTCTCTCATCAATGTTTCTGTCTCTCTCCCCACCCACGTCCTTCCTCCCTCCCTCTCTGAAAGCAATGACAAAACAAACAAACAAAAAAAAAACTGAAAAAAGGTACCAGTAGTGCAAAAATAGCAGGCATGAAAATGCATTCAGATTTAATTTTGACATTTTGTATATACATGAAATTCGAATGATCATTTCAATGTTTAAATCTAGAGTTTTTTTCCCTGTTTTGAGAAACATAAACCACAATTTAAAAAAAATTCTAACAGGTATTGTAAAACTGGGTATTTATTTAATTGTTACTATCACAAAAAGAACATACTCAGCATGTAAATGGTTCATTTATAGGAAAAAAATGAGGTGATATGGTAATCTGAAATTCTTAAAACACTGTAAACAATGGTGAAGACTATAATATTCCGCTTTTTACATAATATTAAGGAACTATTTACCTTTACTTAAAAAGTCTGTATTATTTAGCATTAATGCCAATAATAACCTGTTTTAATACCAAAATTAATATATTAATATTTTGAATATCAAGTAATAAAAGAGATGGTCAAGCACTTTGTCATTAAAAGGTAAACTTATTAGTCACCGTGGTAAATCACAATGTTTATTTCCTATTATGTATCAAGAAGTTTAAAAAAAAATGGACGTACCCTCTCAATTCTCTGTATCGAGATATTTTCATTAGAGCCATCAACCCCAGTCCTTGTTGTGCTTACACATACGTGGGTGTGAGTAAAGTGCTTGCTACATTTCAGATAAAGGAGTGTGAACATACTGTCTTCAGCAAGGCCTTATGGAGACCGCCTCAAATGCCTAAATCTTGGCCCTGCAGCGTGGGAATACACACTTGCTACACCTGTGAGGCAAAACTCACTTCCACTCACCTTTGACTACAACAGCCTGCGACGGGCCTTGTATCTACCTTCTCGTTCCCGCAGTCACCCAATGACAGTGGACCCTGCCTTTATGATATGATTCCAGGTCTTGAACAAAGTCACATCCAGCACATTGCTGTCACTTAATTATTTTTGCAAAGGTCACAGAAATAACTAAAATGGGGTGTGAAGGACACCACTCATTTATGAAAATTGGTCTAGCTGCAAAACTGAACTTTTCCAAAGGCCAATTTCTCTATGAAATTGATCTATATACACTGGGTCAATGTCTTCCTTACAATCATGTGCTAATGCTTGAGACTTCTAATTAAAAAAAAATTAAACCAAGAAACAAAAGCTGCTTACTCCCTTCCAATACAAAGGACTGTATCACTCTGAGGTTGGAAGAGCTACACCCTAGGAAGGTGAGCTCATCCTACAAGTTAAGAAAAATAAAAAGTGCACTGTGGGTGTTTCACAAGAGAGCTGTGACCACAGCCAGAACAGACCCTTGCTGGCCGGCCAGGTCATGTCCCAGCACTCTAGTCCTCACAGGCCACTAACTTCCTGTTTCATACGTGAAGTACTCCTGAGCCTTCTTAGCGTCTGCATTAGTCTTTGGAGTGAGCTGTGACCATCACAGTCCGTTTAAAAACACACCTATGTAAGCAGACCTATTAAGCCCCCTACAAAATACTGAGTTCAAATGCATTTTAACTACAAGATACAGATAAACTATTTCAAAGAAAGCTGTTCTTTTAAAAAACCTAAAAGATGTTCAGTTATACAAACCCTGGCAGGGGTACTGTTTGTGTTTTAAGAGAGGAAAAACAAACTTTAAGGAAAGCAGAAACTCCATTCAGTCTTCACCTTTTATGACCGGCTAATGAGGACCATGCCTCCTTTCGGAGAAAAGCTCACATGGGAACTCCCAGACTATTCCACAGTCCATAAGAATCAGCACCAAGCCCCTATCAGAGGACCCCAGAAATAAACAGTTTAGTTGGAAGCCCTGGGACACTTGGGGGGTGGGGGTAAGTCAAATCAATGGTCCCAGCAGGAAATAAAAAAAGGCAGGGGACCTTCTTTCTCTTTCTCAGTTAAAATTATTAAACTCGGTTGGTAAGGTTCCAGTGAGTAGTATTTGGCTTTAAGCTTCTGATTATGCTCATAGTCAAAGCCAGCTGTTCTTCACATCTACTGGTTAGCAGGGGGTGGCATCAGACAAAATCACACTGCTCTCTGCTCAGGACTAGCAACAAGTTAAGCACTGTGGCTTCCTCCATGCTGGGAAAATAAAATACTCCATCTGCAATATATTATATTTGTCCACTCTCCTTCATTTCACTGGTGTGGAAGACGTGTTTGCCTTGTCGATTTCAAATCACATTCAAATGAAGTTTTCTAAAGAGCAAGGCCATGCTTAAACCAAAAACACCACCTTCCCCGAGACAAAAACGAACAAGAGCCAGCCTTAAGTCTCAAGCAGTCCAATATGGACTGAAATCTTAACTGTTGAAATTTTGATCGGGAGAGCTTTTTCAATGTCAGAGTTCAAGTTAAACGAATAATAAAACATTAGGGAAGGAAGAAGCAGAGGAGGCAGCAGAATGGGAAGGAATTTACATTTTTCTCCAAAAAATATATACTTTGTTCATTATATTTACTCATCAAAACTTTTCAAGGGGCTGAAATCATCCGTTGCCCAGAACCGACAAATTCTACGGTAATTTTCTTCCAGTGTTGAGCCTGGTTTTGTCCACTCAAAGCCGCTATTTTACTGCTTTGGTTTGCTCAGGTTGGATGCAGGAAGCTAAACTCGGAACAGATTTATTATTTTTAAAATCACCCACTACCCCTAACTGTTCAGGCCCTTCGCATACCATGGCTTCCTAAGGCCTCGCACTCCCACTGCGACCCGGCGCGCGCACGCCCGTACGAGGTCCGGGGGACTTCCCGGAGGCGGCGGTGCGCGGCACTCACCGTAGTCCATGAGGCTCTCGCAGCCATCCGCGGTGGACCCGCTGCCGCCCCCCTCGTGGTAGCATCGCCACCACAGCGAGGACGTCTGGATGTGGGTGCTCGACTGCACCCAGCCCCGGCCGGACAGGGCGATGATGTCGAAGGCGATGGCGCTGAGCAGGAGCAGGGGCAGGATCCACCTGCAGCGCTCGCAGGCCAGGCCGCAGCGCAGCATCTCTACGGTGGCGGCGTGAAGGACAGGAGCGCGCGGGGCAAGGTCGCGGGCCGAGAGTGACCTGCGAGTGAGGGCCGTGCGACAAAAGTGAAGAGGCGGCGCGGCCGGCCCCACCTAGATTCCGGTGACTCAGAGCGCGCCGCCCAGACCTGCCCGGCCGGGTCGGGGCGCGCCGGGGTGAGGCGGGGCCGGGCTCAGGTTACACCGGGTGTGGGTGAGTTTTCCCCGCCCAGGCGGACCCGGTGGCGCCCTGCCAGGGGGCGTAAGGCTGGGGGTTCAGGCTGCAACCGGGCGTGCCTCCGAGCTTCCCCACGGCCTTATTTCCCTTACACAGGATCCACTCACTGGAAATGGGTTTGTTTTCTTTTCTGCGCTTCAGCCTCTGCGCGTTTTAATCTGCGCAACACCAGCTAAATATTTAACCTCTGATGTCAGATAATGGTCTGATTTTCAACAATACCACTATTTACGTTTCAGGCAGTTTGAAATGGGTGTTCGAATTGCATCTGAGGGTCAGTGCTGCGCTCCGTGTCAATGCTTGTGGCAAACAGGAGCAGGCCCTGAGACCGTTCCAGGCAGAGGCTTGCTTCCTGCAGGGCTCCACCTTTGCACCTTGCACTGTGGCTCCCCTTCGTACTCCTACCTGTTTACATGCTGCCTTTCCCACTGGGTTGCCCGCTACTGGAGAGCAGAGGCCGGGTTTTATTGGCCTGTGTATCCCTGGTGTCCAGTGCTGTGGCTGGACGTGGAAACATACTGAATGGAGGAAGTAAAAGCGCCCTTCAGTTTCAGAAGCGCTTCATCTGGCTTCCCCATACACCTTCACGTCCTGAGTTTCGCGGTACCCGCCCTACCACAAATCTCTCCTATCTAAACCCCACTTTATCTATTCCTTTCATTTACTATTGAAGTCTCTCCAAATAAAAACTATACGTCACTAGGCATCCAGAACCTAAAATCCCACCTCCAGTGTCCCATCCCGGCTTCTGTCACCACGTGCCTCCTTAGGTGCGGCCTGGTGGGTGGGGTGGCCGCTGGGCGTGGCATTAAAGAGAAACAAGTTTTCTGTGCGGGGGCACCTCGGTTGCCTCGGGCAAATCACGAAAAACATTCAATGGGGGTCGAAGCTCATCTTATACCTCCAAAGATTTCTAAATCCCTTACCTTTTTTCCTATTAATTTAATATGACAGAAGAGGGAACATAGCGATGTTTAAAGTTTAGTCCCCTGTATCGTGGTTTGGTGTTCCCAATAGAAACAGTACTCTTTGGTCTGACTCAGGTCTCTGGTAATCTTTGAGGATAAATGAAAAACAGTACCGAGAAAGTACCTGAAATCACAGGACATAACTTCCCCAGCCTTCATTTACACAAACCAAGGTAACATGTTTTCACCAGAGTCAAATATTTTCACTTTCAAAGAATAGTACAACGGGGCATTTTGGGGAGAGTTAAACTCCCTATGGTGGAGATTGTGTAACAAAAATATGCTCTTAGAGTTTTCAAAAGTAATGAAAATATTTGATTAGCTGTGTATGGTATATTTATGGGAAAAATTAAATTCTTACGAAACAGAATGCTGATTATGAGAAGAGTGGTTTCAGACAAAGAGTTCTGTTGGTATCTTAGTATCTCTGAATAATTTTGCGCTCGGTACAACTTCTTTTTCTTACTCTAGTGGATTTGAGGGAAAGAGTGCTGAGGGCATTAGTGCTGAGGTGAAAACAAGGAAAGTGTTTCTTTAGAATTTCTGGAAGAGACTAAACCAACTGTGGTTAGGTTCCCACAGTACTGCGCCTAACACATGACTCATCTGTAGGACCAGACAGATGGCTCCGGTTCCGCTCACGTCTGACACAAGCTGTGTGGCACCGGTCCACTTAATTTACTTTGGTCCCAGTTTCCTTATCCTTAAATGGAAGTGCTCCCCCCATTAAAAGAACTAATATACGTGAACTGCTCAGGATAATGCCTGCACAGAGTGAGCCACAGCGTGAGGGTGGACGATGATCATTTTCACATAGCTTCCTCACTGTAATAAGGTGGGGAAGGGGCTTTTGCATGTTTATAAGGAGCAAATTCTATATATGAATACCAACTGTAAATCATTAAGTTATCTTAGACAATGCAGTCTTTCAGTTTAACCATATTCAGGAAATGATGGACTATGGTGGAAAACAGACAGTTAAATAGCGCCCCCTGCTGGATAGTATAGGGATTGCAGAGGACTTGACAACAATTGACACCTGGAAAAATTTTTTGCTTTTATAGATTTGACGGGGGGTGTGTTTACAAAACCAATGAATAGTACAAACAAAAATACATAAATATATAATTTTGGAATAAAAATTTGTAGTTTTACTCTCCCATCCAGAGAAAGTAACAGTAATAGTAATAATAACATCTTCTGGGAGTTTACTAAGTGCCAGTGTTTCACACCCACCTTATGAGGTGTGCACTAGCCTGACCTTCACATAGACGAGAAGACTGGGGCGCAAAGAAATTTAGTAGCTTGCTAAATACTGCACAGTCCCTGGCTGGCAAAGCCACGCTCCACCTTAGGCAGTTTGACACAGGAGACAAATGCTATTTATAATAACCACTGATAAGAGTTTGAGATATGTTTCTCCAAAAGTTTCCTTCTTTCCCTCACAAACATCCAACTCACTACCAGTTCTCTCCCAAGCTGTAATGAAATGACCGCCCCCCCCACACACACACACATCAAGCTGCTGTTCTCTCGATAGTAAACCAAAGTGAAAGGCATCCAGTAGAATACACCCTGAACATATTCTAGTTGGACAATCCGAGTTCTAGTTCTCACTGACCCTGTGTTTGTTTCTCCTCTAGTCCTTGTCTAATTTCTCTTCTCCCTGCTCAAGCACACTTTTAATTATCTCCACTCTCCTACCCCTTTTCCTCCCCCAGCTGACTGTAATCTCTCTGGTACCAGTGATGTAATGGCAAAAGCTTAACAACCAACTTTCTGAAGAAAAAACAATCCTTAATTTTTAGCAATTGCCAATTTCCATAATGTAAATATTCCCCCATGGCTGATTTCCAGCCACTAACTTGATGTCACTGAACACAAAATTAGGAAGAAATATACATAATCATCTGTTGAAGCTAGTAAGCACACTCCAATGCATCTACCCCCACATCCTACAGAAACTGCTCTCTTTTTCAAAGGTCACCAGTGAGGCCGTATTGCCCAAATTCAATAGATACCATTGGCCTCTTTGTTACACCAGGTGCTTTGATGTCTCTCTTCATGAAATGTTCTATAAAGATGTGAAAGCCCAGTGCCCAGAGACCACCAGGAACACACCTGTAGTCAAAATTAGGTTTTTTGAGTCGCCGCAGCAACAGAGACTGAAAACCATGTGGCGCTCTGGGGATGTCTCAGTGGAAGGGTATTAGGAGGGCCTGGTAATAAGAGTTAGGCTTGTGTTTGGTGATTTTGGCGAGAGTTCAAGGAAGTGGGTGTTTTGCTGTGAGTTATTGGGTGGTCCAAAAAGACCTTTTCGTTTCTTCCATAAAATATAAGACAGTTTTCATTTTCACCAAAAACTGTTGATTTGGATATATTGAATATGTCAGCTATCTCCAGCCTGGTATAAGGTTGATTGTTCTCAATTAATGCCTCAATTTGATTGCTATCAACTTCAACTTGTCTACCCAACCGTGGAGCATTGTCTAGAGAGAAATCTCCGGCATGAAACTTTGTAGGCACGTTTGATCAGTTATAGCACCTTCTCCATACACTACATAATCTTCTTTTGCACTTCAGTTGTGTTTTTGCCTTTCTTGAAATAATAAAGCAAAATCGTCTGAAATGATCCATGTTCAATATTAAAATGGCTACACAAAAATTCACAAATTCTGCTAATTTTTAAAATGCATGCTAATATGAGAGCTGTCACAATACAATCTAACAAAATTGTTTCTTTTTAAAAAGATTTTAAATTTATTTTTATTTTAGAGAGAGGGGAAAGGAGGGAGAAAGGGATGGAGAGAAACATCAATGTGTGTTTGCCACTCGTGCACCACCTACCCATAACCCAGGCATGTGCCCTGACTGGGAAGTCAACCAGTGACCCTTTAGTTTGCAGGCCAGTGCTTAATCCACTGAGCCACACCAGCCAGGGCACAAAATTATTTCAAATGAAGTTAAACACAACTAAGTGCTACTAGAGCCATCTTATGGAGAAAAACAAGCAAACTGTTTGGCCGTCTGAATACATTCATTATGTTCTAAAGACTGCTATCTTATTTTATTGTTGCATGGTGGGGATTTTTTGTTTGTTTGTTTGTTTGGTTTTCTGTGTTTACACCTGACTGTGGAGTGGTCTTATTCTATCACAATTACAGAGTGACCTTATCTAATGTTCATACTCTGTGAAATTATTTTTTATCAATATTGGATCATCATGGCCTAGCTATTGGTTGCCAGACCAGCTACCAACTGTCAGGGATCATATTTTGTTTTGTTTCTTACTTCCTTTCTCTCTCCCTCTTTCCTTCCTTCCTTCCTTCCTTTTTCCTTTCCTTTCTTTCTTTCTGGCTCTCTATTGAATCTCTTCATCCGTATCTTCCCTTGCTCCTGAATGTACTAGTCTTCCTCTTCACCTCCCCCACCCCCACCCCCAGCTCTCACCGGTGTTGTATTCTCTGGGTTCCTATGCTTGTAGAACTTTTCTGTTCATTCTATACATGTTCTTTGTGATACACCACCCACTTTCATAATTTCAACTCCTGCTTATATACTCATGACTTGCCAATAGGTATGTCTTTACCCCATGCTTCTCCTCTATGCTTCAAACATTTATACTCAATATCCAGCAAGATGGCACTACTTAGATTCTCTCTCAAACACTTTAACCTCAGCCAGCACAGAGTTCAAATTGCCCTCTCTTCTGCTAAATCATTATCTTCTTTCTGAAGCCCCTGTCGTACCTCTAGAACCTTATTCACCAAAGCGGAATCTAACATCATCCTTGACGCTTTCTCTTATATCCAATTTAAATGCAGTAATTGAGCCCTGGCTGGTGTAACTCAGTGGACTGAGCATGGGCCTGTGAGCCAAAG